ATAAAACGACGATAATTTTTCTAATTTCATAGACAACAGAAGACTGTATTTTTTCTACATAACCCCCCCTGAATTTAAAGCTGGATCCGCCCCTGATTGAATAATAGGAAATTTGGATCCCGCGATCTAAAAAATCCCGAACACAATGTTTTTGTTACCTAAAGTAAACCAGGTTAAAAATATATTCTTTTGACACTGACGCTCTGTAGCTAAGAATATATTCAGTTTTGGATAAGACAAATGTGCCTAAAACGCAATATTTTTACCTAAACAATGGACTGAGACGACCATTCTGTGGGGCTGCTTTGAATAAAATCATAGATGTTTGGCCTTCCGGAGCCAATAACTTCGCCTTTACCCAATGGTGAGTAAGTTGAAAATGAGGTCCTCTTACAACTGCATATCTCACCAACAGGTAGGTAAACATTTCGCATTTGAGAAAAAAGGTCCCTCTTTTTGCAAATATTGGTTTTTATGCAAATTCTACCACTTGCTAAATGATGTTCCACTTTTTTGAAACAAAATATCGGAAGTCAAACTACGAGAACAAAGACACGGGCACATAAAATATAAATAATAATAATAAAAAGATGATACTAATTCGGCTTTATTTGCAATTGATGTCCAGACGAAGTTCTACATGTACTACTAGACACGAATGAAATTGCATTGGAAAAACAAGAAATACACCAAGGAAAAATTATGGACTTAATATACATTTACCTATTGAGGCTTAAATAATTTTTGGAGAGTGTCTACTTTAATATTACCTGTTGTCCGTCAGCGAAAGTCGATGTTTAGAGTAGGTATGTTCACTCTTCTGGTCAAAAGCCTATGGGAAATCAAGGGTTCAACATGGATTCCATGAAGGAAAAACAAAAATTAGTGTTTTATAGATCTGTAAAACATGCACAGTTCAAATGTTTTCAGATCAGAAAAACCGTCGACAACTGCCTGGAACGTTCATTTTCTTTATAAAGCAAAAATTCGTTTTTAAACCACAGACACCTTTTTTACGACCATTTTCACTCAAAATTATTCTTTACTTTTGGACTGGGAATGTTGGAAATTTCACAAGAGAAATAATTTTTACGGTTTTTTTCGCCCATATATGACACACTGAGTTTAATTTGCTTACTGTCATTTGGATGTTAGCCTCAGGAAAAAATTATCAATTTTTATCCCTGATAAATTTTGTATTTCTTGATGTTTTTGTGATCTGCATTGCTTTGCTCAAATTATTATCAATAAACCTTCGGGCATTCCTTTGCAAACATCCATTTGATTCCCGTGCATTCTAAAATCCCGGTGCTGTTTTTGATATCGGCTTTAAAACATTGCATAAACACACGTTAATAATAAGTTCAATAAAATACAAATTGGCGAATTCAAATAAATCATCTTCATTACTCCCGTCGTCGATTAGTTACCGGAAAACATGGCCACCCACCGAAAAATCAATTGAAAATTGAACCAATCGGTGCAGTTTTAAAACGCACGCTCTGAATTTTCCTGCTACGCGTCGTCGCTATTCGTTTCTCCAGTGAAATAAGCGTACGACGCACGTTTTTCAATGTTCCTGCGGAGTAAAATCGGATGCCGTTGGCTGTACGATTCCTGCCATGAAAGCGCTCAGGAGTCGCAGGACGACGCAATTATCTGCAATACGTAGTCGCGTGGTATTATTTGCGGCGTAAACTGTGTCACATTCCTGCAGGACTCATAGGGCCCGATCTACCACAGGATTTGAATGCGCTGTGACTTTGATTTCAGTAGATGCTTAGTATTTTAGTGATATTTGCAATGGTCAAAGTGTGGTTTCAACTTCAGCGATATTCTCACACGCAATAGAATTTTCCGCTCAACTTTCGGCGTTTTCAATAAACAACGGTTAGCTATTGGAATGTGAATGCAACTAATGAAAGTCGCAAATAAATGTGCGCTACCTCATGCTAATATAAATAAGATTTAAGTTTGGGGCGACAAAAAAGGTACAAAAATAGTCTTCATTGTGTTGTGGATTTGGCCCTCCGATTAAGGGGATACTATGAATTCAGGCGTGTGTTGTGTACTTTTATCAAATAGTGAAACCGATCAATTAGTACCGAGTGCGGGAGATCTTTGGAACCTTCAGCCGGAATCTTGGAACGTACAGCCGGAGAATCGAGCGCAAAACTCCTTGGAAACGTTCCAGTTGCTCATGCAGGTTAGCGAAATGCTTACTGTGCATTGTATTGTGTGCATAATTGTGATTTTTTTCGCAAACTTGCCTTTTATAATAACGCTGTTTGAACTCCTCCCACTGGCCGTAATCCGTTTAGTTCAACCAAGAGAGGGGATGACAAGTTTCATAACTTTTGCAAACGCATTTGCACTTGTGGTGAGAAGAATCTAATTATTTCCTTATGATTCCTAACTTAACTTAACTTAAAAAAACTATCTCAAGCTAATAGTTTCCAGAATTGAGTTGAACATGCGCCAGCCAGGTGATGTAAGCTTTTATTGATATTAAAAGGAAATCTAGTAAATAACGAGATTTTGGGATAAAATAGTGCTATGTAAAAAGGAAACAAATATTGCAGTTAAATTTGTTAAGTTTTCTCGGTCGGAGCATCATTTTCTTCAACCATCTCTAGTCCACTTCTAAAGATAAGTCTTCCCCAGTTATTTTTMATTATTTAATGTTAACCTGCTGTTTTTCGTTTGTCTGTCTATATTTTCTGTCGTTTGTCTAAATATCCATTTAGCAATTTTTGGTATTCATCTCTCGACCTTCCATCTTGCTACATGCTTACTCCCTCTTTAATCGAATCAATTGTAAAATATTAGAAAGATTTTTGGGGATTAATTTATCAAAGAAATCTAGAGCCTCTAAAAGTCACTCATTTTTTTACTTAGAACTTTTTTAAAATAATAAACGATTTATGGCACCAACAGTTAATGCGAAGAACTTCCTGTATTTGACACAATATCGAATCCTCCATATCGAATGTACAATTACAACTAGAAAGTATGTGAATCATCATTCAACTGGAAGCTTAAACAAGTTAGACCTGAGTCAAAAATATACAAGAATATAGGCATTAAATGTATAACTAACATTGGTCGAAAACTGTTTAAGTCTAAAACCAGCAGGAATAAGAAGATCCTCAAAAAACATATTTTCAAGGAAGAAGTAAGATTGTTTGTTGAACAAAACCAGGAGCCAGGAGTCTGTTGTAGGCTCATTGCTTACAACAGACTAACTTATGTGCTTATTTAATTTAATTCAAATATCCCAAAACGGGACACATACATTCTCTCTTAATTCTTGCACTACATTAAAACTTTCATGTCTATTTTTTATATTTAAATTTATATATTTCTTATAGTTTTGCTCTTGCCTTTGTGTTTCACCTGTGGTCATAAAAGTCAAGTATTATAAAGTTAATATAAAATAACCTTGTGATTGCTTAAAATTGTAGATGACAATAAATATTATTATTATTATGCCTGGCTGTTGGTGGGGCTGTTTGAGTGGGTAACAACAGTCGTTTCCATCCAGTTCCATTCGTTTCGAACTTTTAACATTAAATAATTGCCGATTCAAACTCTTTGAAAACATTGTCTGTTCTAGAGACTTCCGTTTCAAACAGTAACTTCATTGCACGTACTGAAGGGTTTTTACGCACATGATTTCAGCATTTTGGGTGTTAGTTTAATTTTGCTAGAACCTCTTTTTCCACAAAAAGCTGATACAGATTTTGCTCAGTCCTTCTTCCTTGTTATATTTATAATAACGCTGTTTGAACTCCTCCCACTGGCCGTAATCCGTTTAGTTCAACAAAGAGAGGGGATGACAAGTTTCATAACTTTTGCACCCAAAGTATTTGACAAACTCAGAAGGTTTTTTTCATTAAATATGTTGGACTGCTGCTTATTGCTTAATATAAGCACACTTACACTACGTTATGACCACATTTTGCCTACGGATATTTAGCAGTACTTTGGTCAGGATTTGCAGCTTTTAAGCAAAAATAGTTAGAATATCATCAGGAACTGATTGAAAAAGGCATTTGCACTTGTGGTGAGAAGAATCGAATTATTTCCTTATGATTCAAAAAACTGTCTTAAAAAATTTCTCAAACTAATATTTTCCAGAATTGAGTTGAACAGGCGCCAGCCAGGTGATGTAAGCTTTTATTGATATTAAAAGGAAATCTAGTAAATGACGAGATTTTGGGATAAAATAGTGCTATGTAAAAAGGAAACAAATATTGCAGTTACATTTGTTAAGTTTTCTCGGTCGGAGCATCATTTTCTTCAACCATCTCTAGTCCACTTCTAAAGATAGGTCTTCCCCAGATATTTTAAATTATTTAATGTTAACCTGCTGTTTTTCGTTTGTCTGTCTATATTTTCTGTCGTTTGTCTAAATATCCATTTAGCAATTTTTGGTATTCATCTC